TAGACACTTGGACATGCTTGTATTTGTGACTGAATAGCCCAGCGGCCCCTGGTTAGTTCATATCTCTTTGGCTGGTCCCCACTCCCAGCTGGGGTTATGGTCTGGAGGTCTTGAGAGCAAGCTCCTCAGTGTCGGTGGTGGGGGACACAGGAGCCCACAGGGCATTGCCTGCTTGGAAAGGGACTGCAGGTCCGTCTCTCCCTGGCCGTTGCTGTGGCCAAGGCTTCCTAGGAGAGAAAGAGGCATTGACTGTGTGATCCCTCCCAGCAGGTAGCTGAACCTGACTGATTCCCCTCCGACCAGACCCTGAGGCGCTCTGGGCTGGGCTGTGAAAGGCGCTGGCGGGGCCTGGCCAGCCTCCAGGAGCAGCGTGGGAACGTGGCCTTTAGCCCTGCCAGTCTGCACTGGGGAGCTGGGGCGGAGGGGGCTGATGAGGACCAGACGCCAGGGCAGCCTCTGATGGCCACTCCTGGACGAACCGCAGCGGCCCCGCAGTGGCCACTGTCCTGTGTCCTCCCTCACTACGTGGGTTTCCAGACTTCGGTCTTTTGATGGCTAAGGGGGCTCTTGGGAACCCCTTATTCCCATAAGCAGACATGCAGGGCTCCCCAGCTGTGCCCTGCCTCCACTTCTCAGAACAACCTTGCCCCTCTGGACAAGGATGATGGTGAGTGGAGGACGGCCCTCGGAGGAGGGTGTCAGAACCTGCACCCAACGATCCCATCCGTTCTTTCCACCACATCTCTGGGAGAAGGTGGTTTCTATGTGTGGACCCATCAGTGACTCTGAGTGTGGGAAACCAAGGGTCACGGGGGTGGGGGCTCCTGCCTCAGGGGCCAGTGAAGCTGCAGCTCTGAGAACGAGCCCGCTGTGCCAGAAAGGCTCAGTCTGGCCTGGCTGATGTGGAGCCTGAGGCTGCAGGAAACCTGCCTTTCCTGCCTGGCACTCCCGTCCCATCAGGGCCCTGGGAGAGGGCAGGGCGTGCTCACCAGTTCTCACACAAAGGTTTCTTGGGTTGGGTTCCAGGAAAACAAGACCTGGCTCCAGCCAGCCCACTCACTCTTCTTCTCTGCTTGGTGCAGTGGAACATGATAGACAGTCCTGGGTTCAGTGAGGCCTGGGGCCGAGCCGAGGGCCCTCCCCAGCGTGATGTCCTGATCCTGGGTTCAGTGAGGCCTGGGGCCAAGCCGGGGGCCCTCTCCAGCCTGATGTCCTGGTCTGGAAAACTCCGTAAAGCGGGACCACAGTACCTGCTGTGGTGGATTTGTTGTGAGAGTTACCTGAGGAGATGGAGGCAAAAACCCTCTGCCTCTTGTGGCCATTCCCATTGGTAGTTCCTGTCTCCTCTCTGGTTCCCAGAGTCTGGAGCCCTGGGGCTATCTGTGCCCCTGGCCCAACCCTGCCAGACACTGGCCATGCCCAAGGTTGAGCCTGGGCTTCCCAGCTCTTTCTCTTGTCTCCCTGTGCCCACAGCCAGCTGCTCGGGTGCTCTCCTTGGACCTGCTGGGCTAAGTCCCACCTCCAAGCTCTGCGCCACTGGAATGGGGCTGCCCTCCCTCCCTCCCTTCCCCTGGACCCATGTTTCCTGCTCCTTCAAGGCCCCTTCCAGGCAGATAAAGGTCACTTCCTCACTGAGCCTCATCAGAGCACCCCTAGCCCCTGGCGGTCATTGTCTGCTGGCTGTGGAGTGTTGGTCCTGTCTGCCAGCCACCTGCGGCCCTATTAGCAAGCCCCATCCATGCCTTACTGGGACATCCATGACCTTGCAGGGTCCTCACAGAGTAGCGTGTGTACACTCTGGCTCGGGCCAATCCCATCCGTTCTTTCCACCACATCTTTGGGAGAAGGTGGTTTCTATGTGTTGACCCATCAGTGACTCTGAGTGTGGGAAACCAAGGGTCACAGGGGTGGGAGCTCTTGTCTAGGGGGCCAGTGAAGCTGCTGCTCTGAGAACAAGAATTCGACACACTTATGGGGTCCTGCCCTTCAAGGGAGTCAGGACGGTGACACCAGTGTCATTGTGCCTTCTGGACACTTAGTGCTTCATACCCAAGATCCTCAGTCTTCACAACAACCACAATAGGGTGACAACATGCCACCTTGACAGATGGATATTATCCCCAGTCACAGAGGAGGAAACTGAGGCTCAGAGATGTTAAGTGACTTTCATGAGGTCACACAGCTAGTAAGTGGTAGATCAGGGACTTGACCTTAAAGTGCATGCACTTTTTGCTGTATGAAGAAAGGTACTTCTGGTGGGGGTTGGGAGAGGATGAAGAGATGTCTCAGATCTCTTGGGCAGCACAGGGCAGCAGCACCCCTAGCCTGGTGGAGTCATCTTTGGAAATCCCATTTCATCTTTGACCCCTTAGTGTATGAGGCCTGACTCCTGTCCGCTGTAGATGGCTATCAGGGAAACACTCAGCTTCAGTCGGGCCTCCATGGTGGAAACACCCTCTTCCCAGTCAGTCAAAGCCTGACTGTCAGCTGCTCTCACTGTCTTCCCCTTCGCCCAGCCCCATGGTTCTGGTTCTGCCCCATGAAGGAGACTGGGGATGAAACGGGACGTTCCCTGGTTAGATGACTTCATGGACTCAGGGGCTGTCTGCCATGCCCACAATACATCAGAAACACTTCATAGCTTCTAGTCTGGAGTGTGCAAAGAAACAGATTTGGATTCATATGGTGGCGGCAACATTTACTGGCATGACACAATGGAACATTTATTTAACTTCTCTGAGCCTCTGTTTTCTCAACTGTAGAATGAGTTCTTATAAGGATTAAATACTGAGAATACCAGCTGGGTGCGGTGGCTCATACGGGTATTCCTAGCACTTTGGGAGGCTGAGACAGGTGGATCACTTGAGGTCAGGAGTTCGAGACCAGCCTAGCTGACATGGTGAAACCCCCTCTCTACTAAAAATATAAAAATTAGCCAGGCATGGTGGCATGTTCCTGTAATCCCAGCTATTCGGGAGGCTGAGACAGGAGAATCACAGGAACCCAGGAGGCAGGTTGCAGTGAGCCGAAATCACGCCATTTTACCCCAGCCTGGGGGACAAGAGCAAAACTCTGTCTCAAAAAAACCAAAAAAAATCCCAAAAAACTGAGAATAAAGCTTTTGGTATTACATGCGGCATATAGTAAATCCTCCATTAATGGTGACAGTTGTCAGCGTTTCTGTAGGTCTGGATGTTTTGGGTAGAGTCACCTGCCCAGGAGTTGGGGAAATGTCTGGATTTCATTACTGTTCTGTACTGGGATTTCACAGGGATGAGTCACTTGGTAGAGGAACACTCTGTGGATCAGGAGGGCCCACAGTGGGACGAGCTTCTGCAGGTCAGGAGAGGCACCCAGAGGAAGTGAACTCACATCCAGGGTAGCACAGCAGTCCCTGACTCAAGGGCCCGAACCCTGTCCCCTCCTCGAGTCCTCTGCTCACTTGCAGCCTCACCCCACAGCCCCAGGGAGCAGAAAGCGCACCAGAGGGTGTGAGCATCACGAATGTGATGGAGGGGGGCTCTGCACTGTGGCTTTTGTGGAAGGCCAGCCCTGTCCCTGACTGCACCGGCAAGGAGGGCCCAGAGTGGCACCAGGTTGGCCTGCACAGGAGGGTCCTGGATACAGGGTTGAGGAGGCTGCGCTTTCTGCGGTAGGACAGGAGCTGGAGGTGACAGAAACCAGAAGAAGCTAGCAGCTGGCTGGCTCGGGGAGCCAGGGAGAGATGGACGGGACCAGCTGCACAGGAGGGCTTCCCACCATCTCAGGGCCGGTGTTCCACATCTTAGCAGGGCCTGCTAGGCACAGAGCATCAGCCTGCTTCGAGGCTGGGCCCAGGCCCCAGCACACTTGTGCTGTCTGGCAGGAAAACTCTTAACTGGTTTAACTGGATTTCCAGAGCTCTCAGGCTTGAGACCTGGACGTAAGGGAGAGAGGCTGGGGGAAGAAGCATGACCTTTCCTGGGGCTTGGGCTGACTCAGGAGCTTCAAAAGCAAAATTGCCTCCGCTTTTGTTTGCATAACAGAAGCGGTGAGAGGAGGAAGTAAGATCTATCTGTTTGTGAACAAGGTCAAAGACCTGTAAGATTTCCAGCAGATGGGACCGTTTCTCAGGTGACCAGGCATTCCCACTACATGCCCCGGCGGCTTTGCTGGTCACAGCATGGTGGCAAATTACATGTTATTAGAACAGTCCGGATGATGAAGTCACTGCAGACCTAATCACATTTATTTCAATGACAGCTTTGGCAGAGCAGTAAATTTTGCTGCCAACCATGTCTCTTGTGGCCGGTTCCCTGAAGGAACTGCCATCGGACGTGACTACAGGGAGGGGTCCTTGCTAGAGCCTTAATTTGTCACCTTTTCCCTCCAAATGGCAGGTTCTCCCAGGAAAGCCTGCCCATGTGGCAGATTGTACTTTCAAAGTATATCCCATCTCACATGCTCTGCCTGACACTCCTCCCATTGAGTCCAGGAGAGGTCTATGTCACTTCTCCTTGTACCTTAGTGGAAGAAAGTTTATGACTACTTTGATGAGTAGAAGTCATTGCAAAAGTGACACTAGGTGACTTCCACAGCTAGGTCAGAAAAATGCCATGCACTTCTACCCTAGGATCTTGTAACCCTTGCTCTTGGAATCCAGCCACCATGCTGTGAGGAAGCCCAAGCAACACCGAGAGGCCACGGGCAGTTGTTCTAGGGGAATCAGCACCAGCCACCAGACATGTAAATGAGGAGACTGTCCATATGTCTCCAACCCCAGAATGCAACTGCATGAAAGACCCTGTGTGAGAAGCACTCGGCTGAGGCCAGCCAGACCCCAGAGCTGTGAGAGGTAATAAAATGATTATAGCTGTTTTAAGCCACTGAGATTTGGGGTGATTAGGTAGCAATAGATCACCAGAACATCCATGAACAGTGATAATGACAACCTTTGACTCTCTGGCACCTCTTATTGAAAAATGGAAGTCCAATCCTTCCTTCCAAACTTGCCTTCTCAGGTTCTGAAACTTCCTACTATTGGGTGATTCAGTCTTTCAAAGCGAGATTTGAAAGTGGGACTTCCAGTCGTCAGAAGCCATCAGAACGCTCTCTTACTCACTTTCCCAAGTAAGTTAATCTCTTTCACATTTGTACTAAGAAAGACAGTTATGACGTAATGGAAAGCTTATGACTCAAATGCCAGGTAGACCCAGGGACGATTCCCAGTTCTGCCAGTTCCTGGCACTCTTTCCTGGGATCAGTCACTTTGCTTCTCTGTGCTTCGAGTCTCTGCTATGAAATGGGAAAACTCACGCTGATCTTTTAGGATTGCTGCAATAATTAGAGATTTTTACAAACAGTATTATTCTAGAAAAAAGAGAGATTTGAGACAGCTTATGATGATGATACATATACACTGCTTTGTATTAGCAATAATAACTTATATTTGTCAAATGCCTACTAAGTGCCAGGCACTGTTTTAAGCACTTTGCACCTATTAACTTTTTTTGATGGTTATAACAACCTTGTGAATTAGATATTACTACTATCTGCATTTTATAGATGGGGAAACCAAGGCACAGACAGGTTAAGTAGCCTTCCCAAGGCTATACAGTAAGTAGCAGAGCTGGAATTTGAGCCCAGGAAGTTTGGTCTTAGAGCCGGCTATGGCATACTGCCTCTTGGTAAATGTTTAACTCTGGGTTCTGGGTGTGGCGTTGTAAGTGCTCAGCCGTCTCATTCCTGAAAAACCAATCTGGAGGGATCTGGTGCTTGAACCAAAGTGCTATCAATGGTAAGATCTCTAGTGTTGGTGTGCGCTAATGGGGGAGATACGGCAGGGATGAAGGTCACACCCAGCAGCCCCAGGATGCTATGGGGAGTGACAGACCACAGAGAGGGAGACATCTGAGGAAGAGGACATTTTGCAACATCAGGACAGTGGACGGCATCTGGAGCATTCAGGAGCCTGAGTTGCTCTGGAGAGAGGCAGCGTGGGAAGTGCAGGTGGTTGCAGAACCCTTGATGCTGAGACTTGCCCTTTTACCTACCAGCCACGCGACCCTTGCTGAATCACCTGTCCTCATCTCTGAAATTGCAATAACTTGTGCAACCCCCTGATGAGAGCATGTAAATAAAGTGTGTGGAAAGCCAGAAATGGAAGCTACCACTAAGTTTTCGAGGAAATTTCACTTAAAATGAATACGGTGCTTCCTTATCTTCTTTTTAAAAAATTCCTTTTAGATAAGGTCTTGCTCTGTCACCCACGCTAGAGTGCAGTGGCACAATCACCGCTTGTGCAGCCTTGACCTCCCAGGCTCAAGAGATCCTCCTGCCTCAGCCTCCCAAGTAGATGGGACTACAGGCACGTGCCACTACACTGGCTAATTTTCTTTCATTTTTTTTTTTTTTTTTTTTTTTTTTTTTGAGACGGAGTTTCACTCATGTTACCCAGGCTAGAGTGCAATGGCGCGATCTCGGCTCACCGCAACCTCCGCCTCCTGGGTTCAGGCAATTCTCCTGCCTCAGCCTCCTGAGTAGCTGGGATTACAGGCACGCACCACCATGCCCAGCTAATTTTTTTTTTTGTATTTTTAGTAGAGACGGGGTTTCACCATGTTGACCAGGATGGTCTCGATCTCTTGACCTCGTGATCCACCCGCCTCGGCCTCCCAAAGTGCTGGGATTACAGGCTTGAGCCACCGCGCCCGGCCTTCTTTCATTTTTTTTGAGAGATGGGATCTTGCTATGCTGCCCAGGTCTCAAACTCCTGGGCTCAAGTGGTCGTCCTGCCTCAGCCTCCCAAAGCGTTGGGGTTTTAGGCGTGAGCCACTGTGTCTGGCACTTATCTTCTTAAACAGAGAGTCCTGAACATCACTTAGCTTTTCTTCGTGGTTCAGGGTTCATCACTGTGAGCATCCATTCCCATACTGAGCTACAGAGTGAGGAGGTGCCTAGAGGACACTGCCTCACTGGTTATGGCTCTGCCCTGCAGTGGATGGCCCAGGCTGCTGGGCTCCTGGAGTCCTCAGGCTAGCCCTCTAAAGCTGAGCAGTCTCATCCCTTACTGAGGCTATCACCTGTCACCTCTCAGCGCTGTCAGAACGTTGGCCTCAAGCAATTTAATGAGACTTTGATTTGTTGCTTCTAATCTTTTGTGCATTTACAAACCAGATGCCTGCATTTGTTAGACGTGTTTGTAAAAGCAGGGATTCCTGAGCATAGAGAACGGAGGGGTTCAGCTCAGGGTGAAGTGCATGAGCTTTCATGCGTGGAGCTTGTGACATCCACCTTGGCTGCTCAGGACCCTTTTTGCTCCCTTCATGGGTTTCAACTGCTCCAGATGGGGAAGATGTCACTGTACCTGGTGACCTCTCAGGGACTCTATTCAGTTCTTTTTTTTTTTTTTTTGAGACAGAGTCTTGCTCTGTCTCCCAGGCTGGAGTGCAGTGGCATGATCTCGGCTCACTGCAACCTCCACCTCCTGGGTTCAAGCGATTCTGCTGCCTCAGCCTCCTGAGTAGCTGGGATTGCAGGCACATGCATCACACTTGGCTAATTTTTGTATTTTTAGTAGAGACAGGGTTTCACCATGTCGGCCAGGCTGATCTTGAACTCCTGACCTCAAGTGATCCACCCGCCTCAGCCTCCGAAAGTGCTGGGATTAGAGACAAGAGCCACTGCGCCCAGCCTAGTTCGTTATTTTTACATTGAGCTGTTTTTCTTCCTTCCTGATGTTTATTGTTACAGTAACTTCAGGGCAAACTCAGCATCCTTCCCAGGACACCACCACCTCTGTCCCTTCAGTCCCACGGCCTCCGTCCATGCCCTCGCCCCAGCTTCTGACACAGCCTCCTTAGATTACCCCTGGCCAGCATGTTCTCCATGCTTCTGTGTGCTCAGCATGAGGTCATGCACTCAGTGGGGACTGCTGGGGCGGGCTCAGCCACAGCCCTGCCTTCCGTGAGCTCAGAGCCTGGTTGAGGAGGTAAAGTCAATGCCCAGGACCACTTAGGGTACAAATAGGATGGTGAGAAGTTGAGGCTGGCCAAATCGATTCCAGTGTGATATGTGCGTGTGGTGGCTGGTCAGGAGCCACAGCTACGGGCATATCAGGAAATCAGTTAAGAAGGACACTTGCAGTTGCACAGGCTGGAGGGACAGCTAATACTTAGCAATGCTTCAGCTCCAAAGAATGCTGGCAGGTATGCGACATGGGCAAAGCCAGCCCTGGACCCCCTGAGAGCAATGAGGAGAGGTCAGCTTATGGAGCATGGCTGGAGCTTATGGAGGTGTGGGGATGTCAATGGCAATTCTCACTCTTTCAAAATATGACTGGGTGCAGTGGCTCACGCTTGTAATCCCAGCACTTTGGGAGGTTGAGGCAGGCGGATCACCTGAGGTCAGGAGTTCAAGACCAGCCTAGCCAACATGGTGAAACTCCACCTCTACTAAAAATACAATGGCTGATGGAGAGCCTGTGGGCCTCCCTCCAGGAGGCTTGGGCTTGGGGATGTGTGGGGAGAAGAACACCAGGAAATAGACAGTGAGCAGAAGGCATCTGAGCGGAGGAGGGCAGGATGCTTGGGGTGTATGAGTCCCGGCTGCGGAGGGTGAGGGTGGGGGCTGAGACAAGTCATGGAATGGGCGTCCAAACCCCCCAGCATCCCTGGAGTCTGTCCGGGCTGAGCTCAGCCATAGCTACTCTGGCCAAGCTGCAGACACCCAGGTTCTCCAAGGCTCTGGCTGCAAATGATCCCTTACTCTGGCAATTAGCAAAGTGAAATTGTAATGGGCCATTAGCAAGGTGAAATGTAAACAGAAATCAGGAAGCCTCTCATTCAATCACCTTGAAACTGGTTTCAAGCCATGTTAACAGAACACACACGCTCCCTTGCTGTTACACCTCATGCACACACATCACAACCAAAGGAAGTTCTTGTCCTTGCAAATTTGCAAGCGGCGGGGAGCATGCATGCTCAGGGAATGCCTGGGCATCCATTCCTTGCCCCACTCCCCCAACAAAGCAAGCTGCTTTGAGCATAGAGGTAGATGTTCCAGGAAATAGGACCCTGGAAGAGCTTCAGGAGGTTCTTTGTGCTTGCCCCAACTTCGTTGGAGCTCAGAGAATCAGCACATCATCCATACCCATCCTGCCCCGCTATGCCTGGTTCGCAGTGCTCTGAGGACTGAGCAGAGGGGCAGCACATTGCACTCCAAGGTTGGGGTCCTGATAAGAATTCTGGCAAGGGCAGGGTCAGTGGAATCCTGGCTCTTGGTCCAGAGGCCCCAGGAGTGGAGCAGGGTAACTGCCTACCAACGTTGCTTTGCACACCTGTCACCTTCCATTCCATCTTCTCAGTAGACACACCTGGCATCTCCACTTTGTTCACATAAAGCAAGCAGGGCCCAGAAGGGTGCCGCCACCGGTCACATAGCTGTTGGTGGTAGAACACAGACTCCTTACAGCTTTCAGGGTCCAACATGACGTAGAGGGGCCACCGGGGTGGAGGTGTGGGGATGTCAATGGCAATTCTCACTCTTTCAAAATATGACTGGGCTCAGTGGCTCACGCTTGTAATCCTAGCACTTTGGGAGGTTGAGGCGGGCGGATCACCGGAGGTCAGGAGTTCAAGACCAGCCTAGCCAACATGGTGAAACCCCACCTCTACTAAAAATACAAGAATTAGCTGGGTGTGGTTGTGCCCCTGTAATTCCAGATACTGGTGAGGCTGAGGTAGGAGAATCGCTTGAACTCGGGAGGTAGAGGTTGCAGTGAGCCGAGATTGTGCCACTGCACTCCAGCCTGGGAGACAGAGTGGGACTCCATCTCAAACAAAACAAAACAAAACAAAAAACAAACAAAAACAAAACCAAAACACAACACAACAGAGACCCGTGCGTTTCAGAAACCATCAACAAGATGAGGGCTTCTGGCCATCCTGGACGTCCTTGGTTGTACAGACTGCACTTCCCCAGCTATGTCCCGGGGAATACTATCTCATAGGTTCTGTCTCCTCCTCACATTCTGTTTGCCCAGGCTGGTCCCTTCCCAGAGACAGGCACCCAGTGCTCCCCAGGCTCAACTACACTGAGAGGTGGGTGTTCCAGCATTCAGCTGTAGACAG